GATCGCTTCATTTTGTAGCGTTCTCGAGTCGAAGGCCTCTCACTTTCACGCAGTGCTTTGGGGGGAACGAGCCGCCAGCTCATCCGAACATGTGCTCTCGCTGGCGAAGAAAGGATCAGCAACAGCCATTGCGACCGCGACCCGTGCGTGGTCCACCTGCAAGGCGTGCGGCACCCACGAGTACAATGACACCTTGCAGTTGCGCAACTGCGAGTGCAGGAAATGTTCGAGGCAGGCGAAGCTCTACAAGGCCAAGCCACCAAAGGGCGAGCCAGCCAACATCGTCGCGGCCTCCGCTGGCCAGGCCACCGTGCAGGGACTCTTGGCGTAGGCGGCGGCGATCACCAGCGACCCGAAGTTGAAGCAGGTGCCCGACGAGCAAGTGAAGAAGCAGGACCCTGCAGCATCGCCGACGGCGCCGCCAGTCTCGGCGGCGGAGGCGGTCCGCAGGGCAGAGGGAGTCTGGAAGCAGGCGTCGCTGCAGTACGAGCAGGCTGCAGCTCAGGCAACGAGGTGCCAGGAGAGCTTGACCGAGGCCAGGGCCCGCGAGGTCGAGACCATGCGGGCTCTGGCGACGGCGGAGCTGAGCAGGACGATAGCGGTTCGTGCGCTGGCGAATGCTACAGGCGCGGTCGATGACAGCGTCGGCGGCGGTCCTTCCAAGGCTTCCCCAAACGAAGGAGGAGGAGGTGCTACATTCATCGACCTCAGCTGCGACACGGAGTTCGTCGCGCAGCTCGATTAAGCGAAATGCAGTCAGGAAGAGCGCGACTCGCTCAAGCAGCTGGATAAGGATCTAGTCACGGCAAAAGGCAACTTCTCGGCCGAGGCTGGGAAGATCAACCAGTGGAAGGCGTCCATCGCGGCGCTCAAGGAGAGGATCGACCAGCGGATGTCGAAAGAGCGGCGCGTGGATGCAGAAGCGGCAGCTCAGGCTCAGGCCCAGGCCCAAGCCGAGGCGAAGGCGAATACCGAGGCGACTCAGCAGCCGTCCGCCGAGGAGGTCGAGGCCGAGGTGGAGCGCATCTGCCAGGCGCGCCAGGCGGGCACCGCAGCGGCAGCTGCAACGGGCGGCACAGGGGTGGCTGAGGCGGAGCCCGTGGCAGGCGCGCCGGCCGGCACGGGCCCCCAGTGATCTGGGGGAACCGCTGGAGGCGTGGCGGTACCTCCAGCTGCAGCCCCTGGCGAGCCGCTGGGCGCCGACGCAGCCGCCTGTGAGCAGGAAGCGGCGGCGCCCGACAATGAGATGGAGGACGAGGAGGAGTGCAGGATGTCCTTCGCCAACCTTACACTTCTGGGATGAAGTCTTGGTCGTACCTGAACCGAGCCGACGTCAGGGCTCGCTGTCAGCATGGGCATCGTTGAGTCCCACGCGCTCAGAGGCGGGGCCACTCGCAACGAGTGGGCGCGCAAGGTGCAGGCCAGCAAGTGGCGCTACATCGACAGCGCGGCGGGGGCACGGGCACGAGGTGCTCAGAGGCCGCTCGTGAACGGGCGTCAGGAGGCGGGGTCCCCGCCTCCCCGCCGCGGGGAGGTCTTCTTGGCGCGAAACTACAGGGACGTGCAGAGGGTGGCAGAGAAGGCGATGTTACAAGGGCTACGACTTGCGCTCAAGCATCGCCGTGCCCTTCTACAGGCATCTCTCCATGGGCTTCACTCAGGACAACATCACGCGCTTCGGCAAGGTCGGGGCTGTCGCTCGCAGCTTACAGCTGCCGTGGTGTATCATCGGCGATTTCAACATCGACGTGCGCACCATGGCTCGATCTCAACTTCTTCACAAAATAGAAGGGCACATCATTGAATCTTCCCTGGAGTACACGTGCGTGGTTGGCTCTGGGGATCCGCACTTGGACTATATCACCGCAGGCGCGTCTTGCGCACCGTGTATCGAAAGTGCAGAAGCCGTGCCGCACGGCCCATGGGAGCCGCACTGTGGTCTATCAATTTGTTTCCAGGGCTTAGGTTAGCAAATCCGCTGATCGGGCGTGTGAGTTTCTGAGAGCGTGGGTTTGAGTTCGCTCAAGCTTCGCTCTGCAGGGGGGGGGGGGCGCAAACGACGAAAGAATTGACACGCAAGGCCTCCCCGATGCCGGGACCGCCCCCCCCCCGCCTCTGCATCTTCTCTTTCCCCCAGCTCCCCCCCCGCCTGCACTGACCCCTGGACAGGAGAGAGGGGGGGGTGGAGGGTGGGGGACAGGAGAGAGGAGGAGGGGGGGAAAGGAGAGAGGCAGGGGGGGAGGGGACAAGAGAGAAGGGGGGGCGGGCTTGGACAGGAGAGAGGGGGGGGAGAGGGGACAGGAGAGAGGGGGGGGTACAGGAGAGACGGGGGGGGGGGAAGGAGAGAGGGGGGGGAGTCAAGCTAGGTGCGCTCGCGTCCTATCTGACATCCTACCCCTGCACCGCGAAGCGTAGTATCAACCTAGCATTGCATTGCATGCCGTGGCATGGCACGGGAAATGACGCCAGCGCTGCAGCGGGAGCACGAGTTGAAACGAGC